CCCCAAAACCCCAAAACCCCAAAACCCCAAAACCCCATAGACTTGGTAAAATATTGAAAATAATATAATAATGATTAAGAATAAAAGAAAGATAAAGAACTCATGGAGTCAACCTGATATCAAGATTCAGAGAGAAGCTAATATAGGAGACAAGCAGCTATCCAATCTCTCTAGTATTAGAAGTGAGGGGTCCGATATCAACAGAAATAATGAATCTAAGGATGACTATGCTCAATTTATCTCCCATCTCACACTAAAAGATGGATCCACATTGAATATAGAGTCGTCATCAGGATTATTTCCCAAAACAACTAATATAAAAGACATGAGTCAAGGGAACAAAATTAGATGGTTAGCTCAGAATCAGTCTAGAGTAACAGAAGCAGGCAAAAGCACTTTCTTGCCTGCTATCATCTCTAAAGTTATTCCGAGGAAGAAGGAGCCCAAAACTCGACTGAGAAAGTACAACTTTGTATTTCCTAAAAAGCAGGAGGCTGAATCTAAGGTGAAGGCTTACAATTTGCCTGAAACAAAATATGATGTTGATACTATTAAAGACATAAGGATTCAGTATAAAATAGTTTACAATGAGATCGAATGCCTTAAGGAGAATGCCAAAATGCTGAATGTATACTCTGAGCCATGGATCCTCTTTCATTTCCCAAGGATGACTTTGTCTTCAAAGCGTAGTTTCAACTATAAGCTTGAAAAGTTATGAGGAATGATCATCCTCATTTCTCAGATTATCCTTCAAGAGTTTGCTAAAGATCCTGAAAGTATAGGAATCTCCGATGTTTCACACTTTCTTCAACAAATTGATGAGATCAATAATGAGGTGAAAGCTTTGAAGCAGAACTTCGCTGCTCTTACAAGTATTATTGTCTTCTTGGAAGACTCTATAGAAGCATATTCTATAATCAGCAAGAGCAGTGATAGAGTATCAGCCAGGCCTCAGGAAGTCTTAAAGTTACTGAATCTGGTCAGCAGGGCCAGATTCAATTGTACTGAATTGATAGAGAGGATCAAGCTCTTTGAGAAAAATACTCATGTTAAAAATCATCAAAAAGACCAAGAGGTAAACTTCATAGTTGATTAATAGACTAAACGTAAGAAAATAAAGAAGAGTAAGAAAGATAAGGAAAATGAGCAAGATGAAAAAGAAGGAGAAGGTAGTAAGGAGGGGAACTCACCCACTTTTCCCCAGCTGAGCCCTAGAATCAGCACTGTAGAGAGTCGAAACCTTAAGAACTCTATGAGCACAGAACTTGAGAAAAAGCAACAAGATACCATTATATTCCAAAGTCAGGTTTATTACAATCCATATATGCAAGAGCAAGCTGAAAAAGCTGAGAAGGGTATCAATTTGTATGTATAACTCTATAGCAGCCAAAGCCAAGGCTCTACTAGACAGTAAGAAGAATTCGAGTATGAAAGCTTTAAAGGCGAAATCATACCTCTAAAAGATGGAAAAGAGATTAAAAACAAAGGAAAGCAGACTAAAAAGTAATTTTCACCAATAATTCTAGGTTTATGGCTCAAGTGTTAAAATAAGATGCAGCCTTCTAAGAGAGATAAGTTTACAATCAATAAGAATTTGTTTAAAACAGATAAGATCACAATGGAGACAGATATTGATGAAAGAAAGAATGACCAGGTAAGTACACCTTGAGTATTATCGACTCTGGATATTATACTTAATCCCAAAGCATCCAAATTTTACACAGAATTTATATTACAAAATCTCTTCTTCTAAGGCCGTTATTTATCCCTGATATAGATCAAGGTGATCCAGAGGCACAAAATAGTAACCGATAAAGCAATGGATATTGCTCTTAGCTACTGAAGTTCATCGGTGAGAGACCAAATGAGAAGCATCAGGAGAGGCGCTTCTCAAAACCATGCTCAGCTTTAGCCACTACCAGATGCATGAAAACGTATAAGTTTAAGCACAAAGTGATTTTCAGTTATATTCTTTAATTTCGGGGTTTTGGGGTTTTGGGGTTTTGGGGTTTTGGGGTTTTGGGG